GCCGGATTTATCATCCACCCAACAGTACATCGCCGCTTCGTCTGTAGATGCATCAACTTCGCCTCCCCATCGACCGGTCTGGTCCTCTCCTTGGAGATGCCGACCGAGGAGAGAGCAGTGGTAGGTATGCGGCGGAAGGGGGGAGATGGGTCGAGCGAGGTTGATACATGGCATGGGCTTCGTGCGGTGGACGGTCCAATTAACCTCAGACCTTCGATTTTTCCACCGGAATAGCGACCCTCGAACGGAGCGGCCGGACATGCGGTTAAGAGCCAATCCACTGGCTGAAATTTTCTAAAAGTGCAGATCGGACGATTGCGGACGTACATAACCTGAAAGGACAGGAAAAGTGCTCGGTTATAATGTTTCTAAATTTGATCCCCTCCCAGTGTGCCTTTTCCACCTAGTCTCCCCTTATGCTGTGATTTAGGAACATCAATCGGCTTAAGGTTAGGAATAAAGTCAATACAAAACTCAATGACCTCCTCATTTTCATGGTCCTTGGAGACACTTTCTTCTGGCCTAGCACGATTATGAATATATTTTTTTAAGACTCCCATGAACCTCTCAAATGGGAACATATTGTGTCGAAGTACAGGACCCAGAATGTTAATCCCTTCGCATAGGTGAACTAGGACGTGCGTTATGATGTTGAAGAAGGATGGTGGGAACACCAACTTGAAACTGAAAAGACATTACACCAAATCATTCTCTAACCTTGATATGATTTCTGGACCGATTATCTTCTGAGAGATTGCATTGAGGAATGCACATAACTTCATAATGGCTAATCGAACATTTTCCGGTAGAAGCCCCCTCAATGCAACCGGAAGCAGTTGCGTCATAATTACGTGGCAGTCATGAGACTTTAGGTTATGGAATTTTTCTTTGCCATATTTATTATTCCCTTTATATTCGACGAGAAGCCATATAGTACCTTCATACTAAGCAGGCATTCAAAAAAGATTTCCTTCTCTTCTTTGGTAAGAGCGTAACTGGCATGACCCTGATGTGTCGTCTTTTCCGTGCATACGTTGCTGGTCCTCCCGTGCCTCCGGTGTATCTTTTGTCTTCCCATACACACTCAAGAAGCCAAGTAGGGTCACGCAAAGATTCTTCGTCATGTGCATCACGTCAATTGCAGAGCGGACCTCTAGGTCTTTCCAATAGGGTGGGTACTAAAATATGGATTTCTTCTTTCACATGGGTGCGCGTCCGTCAGCGTCATTCGAAACAGGTTGTCCGCCAAGACCCTTTCCAAAGATTACCTTCAAATCCTTGACCATATCATGTACATTAGCACCAGTACGGTGGCGAGGCTTCGTCCGGTGATCCGCCTCACCTTTGAAATGCTTGCCTTTCTTTCTTACGGAATGCCTGCTCGGAAGAAATCGACGATGTCTCAGGTACACATTCTTCTTACAATTATTCAAATATATATTGTCAGTATCATTCAAACAGTGTGTGCATGCGCGGTATCCTTGTCTGTCTGTCTTGAAAGGTTACTGAGAGCCGATCAATCATTGATGGTCACGAACAGCAATGCCTTTAGGTCAAATTCTTCCTGTCTGTGCTCATCCCACACACGTATACCTTTTCCATTCCACAATTGTAAGAGTTCTTCAACTAATGGCCTTAGGTACACATCAATGTCATTGCCGAGTTGCTTAGAGCCTTGGATGAGCACTAGCATCATAATGAACTTCCGCTTCAGGCACAACCAAGGAGGAAGGTTATACATACATAGAGCCACAGGCCAGGTGCTATGGTTGCTGCTCTGCTCCCTAAAAGGATTAATGCCATCTGCGCTTAGACCAAACCATACATTCCTTACGTCACCTGCAAAATCTGCGCTTAGACCAAACCATACGTTTCTTGCATCACCTGCCAAGTCCTCCCTGTACTTTCTCTCAATTTTTCTCCACTGCGACCCGTCAGCGGGTACTCTCAACTTCCCGTCTTTCTCACGGTCTTATCTGTGCCATCGCATCGCCTTGGCATGCTCTTTCTTTTGAAACAAACGTTTCAACCGTGGTATTATAGGAGCATACCACATCACCTTGGCAGGAATCTTCTTCCTAGGGCGCTCGCCCTCGACATCACCAGGGGCATCGCGGCTGATCTTATATCGCGATGCACCACATACCAGGAACGCGTTCAAATCCGCGTACTCACCGCGGTAGAGGATGCAGTCATTAGGGCATGCATGTATCTTCTGTACCTCTAACCCTAGAGGGCAGACAACCTTCTTTGCTTTGTACGTACTCTCGGGCAATTCATTGTTCTTTGGAAGCATCTTCTTTAACATTACCAGCAACTTTCCAAATCCCTTGTCAGATACACCATTCTCTGCCTTCCATTGCAACTATTCCAGTGTGGTGCCCAGCTTTTTCTTGTCAGCTTCACAATTCGGGTACAACAATTTCGTGTGATCCTCTAACGTGCGCTGCAACTTCTTCTTCTCCTTTTCACTTGCACAGTTTCTCTCTGCATCGGTAATGGCCCAACCTAGATCATCAGCTGGCTCATTTGATGCCTCTTCTTCAGCTTCTTCCCGCATTACCGGCTAAGCTTCTTCCTGCATTGCCGGCTCAGATTCTCCCCCCATTGTTGTATCATCGTATTCAGGGAACCCATGGCCAGGATAGCTCTTGTCGTCCTCTTCTTCTTCATTGTCTTCCATCATAACCCCTCTTTCTCCATGCTTGGTCCAAACATTATAGTGGGGCATGAAACCAGACTCAAACAGGTGGACGTGAATGGTTTTTGAGTTAGAGTAATTGTGATCATTCTTACAGCCAACACATGGACAAGGCATAAAACCATCCGCCCGCTTGTTTGCCTCAGCCACAAGCAGAAAAGTATGCACGCCATCAACGAACTGAGGAGAGCATCGGTTATCGTACATCCATTGCCGGCTCATCTTCATTACACAACACCGAATAGACCAAATTAATACAAGTTCATACAACACTTATTCTCATAAAACAAACATACAAATAACTCTCTAGCTAAAGCATTTAAATGCAACAACAAATGCGATCAAGATCGCAACTAAGGTAACAATTGATCCAACAACATAATGATACCAAGCCTCATTATCAATGGCATATTTTTTAATCTTTCTAATCTTCAAGCGCATTTTCTCCATCTTGATCTTGTGATCATCGACGACATCGGCAACATGCAACTCCAATTCCATCTTCTCCCCCTCAATTCTTTTCAATTTTTCTTTCAAATACTCGTTTTCTCTTTCAACTAAATTTAACCTCTCGACAATTGGGTCGGTTGAAATTTCCGGCTCACATACCTCCTAGATAAAAATATCTATGTCAACTTGATGGGCATAATTTGTCATAAACACGAAATGCAATAAATAGTTATAAAAAAGAATATACCACATCCGAATCATAACTCGGACGAGGGTCGACGGGGACAGATATCAAAACCATGGCACTATGAATAACAAATAATGTACGAGTAAGATAATTATACAAGTAACTATATATCTAAACCACACAAACATGATTTTTTATATAAAAAAGATAAGAACAAGAGGCTCACCACAAAGTGGTGCCAACGATGGGACGGTGCGGACGATCGACGGTGGTTAGGACAGAGACGGGAAGGCACTAAGTAAACCACATCTACATATGCAAACTAAGAGTTATTTTGAGTTCAGATTGCATATAAATCAAATAAACTACCACATATAATTCCTCCCAAAGTACTAAAACCCACAAATTAATCACTATATAAAGCATTGCAAGGGCTAATCTAGCAATGAGAGATGAAAAGGACAAAGTTTCTTACCTTTGTGATCACTTGAATGGATGGAAGCCTTCAAATCTTGACAAAATTTGGGCAAAATGTGTGATGAGTTCGAGGAAGAGGGGAAGAATAGAGAGGAGAGGGGAATGGGAAAAACAGAGCGAGCTCGATCGCGGGTGGACGAAGGGTTTATATAGAACGACCTTTAGTACCGGTTCGTGGCACGGACCGGTACTAAAGGTGTTGGAGGGGCCCCAGACTGACAACATCCTGCCACCACTCTGTTTAGCACCGGTTCGTGTCACGAACCGGTGCTAAAGGTTCGCCACGAACCGGTACTAATGAGAGTGGCCCGCCTAGCCGTTGGAATCGGCACTAATGATCACATAGTGCCGGCTCAAATACAAACCGAGACTAATGAGCTGAACATTAGGCCCTTTTTTCTACTAGTGCATTACCTAACACCAAAAAGGGAAATGGTGAAATTTTCCTTATTAAATGAAAAGGCAAAATTAAATTAGGTTTGGAGTAATTCAATATTTTGGGTTTAAATATACTTAATTCAAGTTTAATGCATGATGATATGATGGCATGATAATGCAAAAAATAAAATAACAAGCAACAACTTAATAGGGTACTACTCTGGGCTGTTGCACCCTCTCTTGAGACTCCTTCTTATCTTTATCCGACCATCTCCTACACACGCCACATCCCAAAGTCTTGTTATATGCCTTTTCTTGCCAAGGTTGAATGATAACATGAGCGCATACAAGGCGACATAGAGTGTGCCGCACAAGGAAAGCACCAGAGTGGATATGTTCACTCTCTTTTCTTAACAAAGATCTTCTACCTTTATTGGAACACGATAATAGTTACATCATTTAACCAGAGAGGAATAAGTTCAAGTTTTTTTAAGGGGTAGGAGTAAGCTCAAGTGGTTTTAAAAAAATATAAGAGAAAAAAGGTGAAAATTAGTAGCATTTACGGCCCAGCCCGGGTGCCGGCCACCCTGGTGGTTCACGCGCTTTAACTACCTACCTACCATAAGATAAAGCGAGGCCCAACCAGGCCCGACAACGCACTTGCTGGCACTATAATGCTCCCACCGCAGCTTCCACTGAAACAACGAAGCACCAGAAAAGAACAAAAATAAAAAAAATAAGACGAGAGAGCCACCCCCATCGCCTCGTCTCTCCTCTCCTCGCAGATCTTTCCCGTCTCCGGCCACAATGAACTCCTACTCCGGCGACCGGTCCTCCTCCCGTCCCATCACAACCTCCTTCGACTCCTACCAGTTTGACTTCGGGGCCAACCCCTCCCGCTCCTCCACCTCCCGCCCCCTCCGCGACCAGAGGCCAGGCGGCGCCACCAACCCTTCACCGAGGCCAACCACCACAAACACATGGTCACACCAGCCGGTGAAGACGTCCTGGACTCATCAGCCATCCCCGTCTGCGGCCGCGGCGCTCGGATCCGGGCCTGTGTCCATGGTCGGCGACATCTCCGGCCGGAGCTGGTCCGCCACTGCGCCCTCCTCCGGCATCGGCTTCCCTCAGTCCAACAACCCCAACCTCTTCAGCGACCTCCTCGGGCCGGCGCTTGGATCCACCCGAGCCCAGTCCAACGCGCCCCTCAGATCAGCAGCGGCCCAGCCCTCCAAGCCTTCAAGCGCTAATCCTAGGACCAACAGCTCTTCCTTCTCGATGGGCGGTATGGCAAGCACGCTCCCGAAAACCACCGGGGCACCGATAGCTTCTGGTAGTTATGGGGTTGGTGGCCGGCCAATGAAGCCGGCGGGCATGGCGCCGGCGACCGCGTCACAGCCCATGGCGCAGAAGAAGGATCCGTTCGGCTCCATAGATCCCTTCGCGGCGAAGCCTGGGTCTATGAATGCTGCAAAGCAGGCAGGTTCGGCCAAATTGGATCAGGGATTTGGCGTGTTTCAGGGCGTGAGTTCGGGCGCCAACGCTGGATTCAGTAGTTTCCAGAAAGCCGGCGCTGGATCCAGTGGCTTCCAGAGTTCTGGTGCCACGAAGCCTTCCAATGTTACGCCTCCGCCTGCACCCGCTCCAGCGCCTGTTTCTGCAGCGGTGAACTCTGGCGTGGATCATTTTGACACGCTGTTTCCTTCGTCCGCATCTGCACCAACTGCTTCTGCGGCGAGTAATGGTGGCGGTGACATGTTTGGTGAGATGGATGGTTGGGTGGACGTGGAGTCGGAGTATGTTGGTGGTGGTGATAGCAGTGGCACAACCACAGAGCTGGAGGGATTACCGCCACCACCGTCTGGGTTGACGGCATCTGCTGCTAAGGCAAAAGGAATGGATAATTACAAGGGTGGGCAGTATGCTGATGCTATCAAATGGTTGTCTTGGGCTGTTCTGCTCATCGAGAAGACTGGGAAAAATGCTGGTATTGCAGAGGTGTTGTCATCAAGGGCCTCGTCCTACAAGGAGGTCGGCGAGTACAAGAAGGCTATTGCTGACTGTTCGAAGGTATTACAATGGCACCTCTACCTAATAGTAGATCTCCCCACTTTTAGTTATACTGGTTTGTACTGTGCAGGTGCTTGAGCAAGATAAGGACAATGTGACAGTGCTAGTGCAACGTGCTCTCTTATATGAGAGCAGTGAGAAATATAGGCTTGGGGCTGAGGACCTGCGTTTGGTTCTGAAGATTGACCCTGGGAATCGTCTTGCCAGGAGTATGATTCATCGATTGAACAAAATGGCTGACTAGGGATGTTTGTCAAGTTCCCTTATGTACCACCACTGTAATCATCCTTGACATGGAAACTGTGAGTTATTTCAAATTGTTCTACTATACTTGTGGCTTTGGGGGTAATAATTTACAACTTTGGTGTTATGAAGCACATCATTGCATCTTCACACACAGTATATTCTTTGATATGTATTGTATATCATATATTGTATTGAACTTTAATAGTTCACTTTGTGGTTTGAAACCGTCACTGTGTTTGTAACATCATGATATTGCTATGACCTTAAGATAAAATATTATATCCAAGACAGATCTTTTGCATAGATGGTGATGCTATTTCGCACTTTGGCGTAATGTTCATTAGTATTTATAGTGTTTGTTGAACATCTCTTGCGTGCCTTGTCTTAATTTTATGCTTAATCACAATTCACAACATAGGTTCTGGAACATCGTATATTTGGCCTCTGCTTTATGCTTGAAGATGTCAGTGCTGTCTAATTGCCTTTGTAGAAGTGTGCCCGACAGTTGTAATGTTGCAAATTTCTAACACTAGTGTGGTTGTGCAGTATAACGAGTTAATTTTGCCTGTATGATCGAATCTCTCCAGAGACCATATGCATATTTGAGAAGTGCAAATTGCCCCACAATGTGAAAATTTTATTTTGACCAAAATAATCATGTTATAACAAAAGGATCAAATTAGCTTTCATTTAGGTAGGTGTCTATAGCAAATATTGTCAGGTGTCTTGAAGTGGTTGCTTTGCAGTCCATGACCATTGTTGTTGTTTACCGTGTCATCTTCTTAATGGGCTAGGGAAAGCTCCTTTTGCTAATTTCAGACAGATTCAATTTTGCGAACCAGGAACTTACAAATTTCAGGCTATGCAAATTATTTGGTTGCCTAAGAGTTATTAGGATGGAGGCTGCCACAGGTTTACTATACTGAGTTACTAGATCATTGATTTCGTGTGTTGACGTACCTATCCATTTTCAGAATAAAATGATAGGAATGTACAAGTTACATATATATGTTTATTTTCTTAGTAATGGAACAGTTGAATATTCATTAGTACTCCCTCTGTAAAGAAATATAAGAGCATTTAGATCACTAAAATAGTGATCTAAACGCTCTTATATTTTTTTTACAGAGGGAGTAAGACGCAATAGCATGTATCCCTCCGTTTCAAAATAGATGACTCAACTTTAGTACAAAGTTGGATTGTCTATTTTGGAACGGAGTGAGTAGTTGAGAAAGCTTATAGTTTGACGTTTGACGTCCTTAACTGGAACTCACAAGTTCTTGATATGTTGAACACACACCAGCAATGTAACATTGCTTTGTCAGTGTCACTGCCTTATGAATATACAAATCTGAAGGTTGCAACATTCATTGATATCAGTGCCGCTATGACTTCAAGTCCCAAGCCCAAACCAGATATAATGGAGTTCGTGCTTATCTATACTTATGGAAATTGTACAGCTCCCTGTCTCGTTGAAAGCGAGTAGGGCATTTTGGAGACTGAGCTCCATGGAGCCCTTTATTTTGAAAAATTTAAAATTCATAAATTTCAGTTTCAAAAAATTCTGAAAAAATACACATGTATGCAAGGATGTAAAAGTGTATGTGTGAAAAATTTCAGGATGAAATACCTTGAATTGCGAGCTGCAAAAAAAAAATCATGGACTTTAAAGATGAACAGTACATATGATAAAAAGCCTCAAATTTGTCCTTTTTGTGTAGCTCACATTTTGATGTATTTTGACCTGAAAATTTGCACACATGTACATAATGTATCTTGGTATATGTGTATTTATTTTTAGAAATTTTTGAAACTAAAAAGTTTGAATTTTGAAGTTTTCAAATAAAGGCATTCATAAAGCTCGGTCTCCGTTTGGCATTTTTGGTTGAAAGCCCCTTTGCTTACGGAAGAGAAGAGTTGGATGCTGTGGTGGGAAAGCTTTCGTTTCAACTTTGCTTCTTGTAAGCTTCGGTAAGTAGCTCACTTGCGGGATCTAATCTTATTCTATGGGAACAACTTCATTTCTATCTTTTGGCTTAAAGTGGTGAACAAATCCTTTCTCTTTGCTTTTTATGCTCTACATGGCTTCGGTCAAGATGTGACTCATCCTGTATATACATAATTAGGAGACCTACAATAATTAAGAGACCTCTCACGAAATTGTTAAAGAAAGGAGTATCATTTGTGTGGACGAGCCAAAGCAATCCTGTGATGTTCTCAATGTTGAGTATATGTATTATGTGCATATTGTGTATTGGGTCCGTCTTCTAGTTTCTTGTATAGTTGAAATTCATGATCCACCTTTATACATCATATATACATGTCTATGTACGAGAGCAATACATCATGCAATCATAATTTCGTACATAGTATCAGTTTTTAGGTTCTAACCCTAATCTTTCACCGCCGCCGCCACCTAACCACCGCTGCTTGCGCGCCTAACGCGCCGGCCGCCGCTCGCGTGCTGCCCCGATCGCCCGCTAGCCCCGCGTCCCACCCGCCTCGCTCGGTAGCCACCAACGCGGCCCGATCGCTAGCCCGATCCGGAAGCTTCACAATTGCTGGCCGCCAACGCCGCCCGTCACCAGATCAATCGCTAGCTAGCTACGCAAGCCACCAGATCAATCCCTTCGCAAGCCACCAGATCAATCGCTAGCTAGCCCCGCAAGCCACCAGATCAATCGCCGCCAACGCACCGAAGCGCCACGCCGCCCACGATCACTGCCTCCGAGACGCTCCACCTAGCAGGCGCCGCCGCTACACAGTGCCGCCGCCGCCGCCCCGTGCCGTAGCCGTCCCCTTCCTCTCAGCTTTCGTCGCAACAACCGCGCCGTCTTGTCCTCGTCATGTCGTCCGTCATCTCCTCCGTGTCCACCAACTCCAACCCATCCGCCAACGTCAACCCTCCCGACGTGAACGACATCCGTAACCTGAACATCTTTGAGTGAGTGCCGATTCATCTCTTCCAGGTGGATTTCTTCTACTACACGTGGAAGACGTATTTCTCCCTCGTGTTCCGGGAGTATCATCTCATCGACCACCTTGACGGCACTGTCGACTCCAGCCTCATCCCTAAGTTTTATGACTGGTCCACCATCGACACCACCATCATCCGGTGGTTCTTTCTCACCATCTCGTCAGACCTCTTCCAGACGGTCGTGGCAGACGGTGACGATGCATGCGTCGTGTGGACCAAGCTGAACGGGCTCTTCACTGACAACCAGCTCCAGCATCACGTTTTTTTGCAGCAAGAGTTTTTTGGGTGTCACCAGGACAACACCTCCGTCGACGACTATTGTCGCCGCCTGAAGACTCTCGCTGACGAGCTCCGCGGTATTGGCGCGAAGATCGATGACGATCTCCTCCTCAGCACGCTCACCGTCGAGCTCAACGAAGACTTCGGCAACGCCGCGACGAACCTCAGCCTCATCCCCAACTCGTCCTTCGCCAAGTTCATTGCGTACCTCCGCTTGGAGGAGCGGCGGATGAAGCAGGTAAAGGCACGGGCCATCCACACCGCCCTCGGTGCCTCCATCCGCCCCGGTCGCGCCCCCGCCGCAGCGCCACCCGGCGCCGTTCTCGGCGCCACCGTCGTACCCGGCCACCAAGCAGCCGGGGCTGCTTCCGCTGCCCTATGGGCCGCCCGCCCGTCCCGCCCCTCCCGCCGAACGGCGCCGTGGGGGCCAGCGCGGTGGGGGCCGCCGCGGCGGTCAGCAGCAGCAGCCGCAGGGCGCTGGCCAGCCCCGTCAACAGCAGCAGCAGTTCCAAGTGCCCCTTCCGTGGGCCTCCGACTACAACCCGTGGAGCGGTGTTGTTCATGCCTACATCATGCCGGTTCCGGGGGCTCCTGCACCGACCCTTCCCGTATCGCACTCGCCGGCACATCAGGTGCACTACGCGGCTCCGCAGCCGTACGACGGCTATCCCCTGCCACAGCTGAGCGGCGCCTACAGGCTCCCTGCGGCCCCGCCGCCGCCCTCACCGGCCCTGCCGCCGGCACCCTGGGATCCGGCGCTCCTCGCCATGCTGCACACCGCGCCTACGCCGAACAACTACACTGGAGGCGGTGATTGGTACATGGACACCGGGGCTACGACTCACATGTTTGCTCATCCTGGTAATCTTGCCTCCTTCACTCCTGTCACCATCGACCGCCGCATCATTGTCGGTGATGGTTCCACACTCCCTATCACACATGTCGGGCACACTTCTTTTCCTTCTAATTCCATGCCTATTACTTTGTCTAACATATTTGTGTCACCTCATCTTATTAAGAACCTTATTTTCGTTCGTTTAACTCATGAAAATCCTGTTTCTGTTGAATTTGACGAGCTTGGTTTTTGTGTCAAGGACGCTCGAACCAGGATGGTACTTCGCCGATGTGATAGCCTCGACGAGCTCTATCCGGTGCTTTCGTCGTCCTCCTCCTCCACCGCACCGGTTGCTCTCTCCGCTGGCGTCGATCTCTGGCACGCTTGTTTGGGTCATCCCAACCCCGTCACACTTCGTCATATTCTTAGGAGTTTTAGTTTCAGTTGTAATAAGATAGAGGATCACACCTGTCATGCCAGTCGTGTCGGCAAACATGTTCGCCCCCTGTTTAATAACTCCACCACCATAGCTTCTTTTCCTTTTCAGTTGATTCATAGCGATGTGTGGACCTCTCCTGTTCCTACTAACTTCGGCTACTTATATTATGTGGTTATCCTTGATGATTATTCTCACTATGTGTGGACGTTTCCTTTACGAGGAAAGTCGGATGCACTCTCCACTTTGACGACTTTTTACTCATATGTCAGCATGCAGTTTGGGCGTCCCATCCTTGCTCTTCAGACTGACAATGGAAAAGAGTTTGACAACCTTGTGTCCCACACTTTTCTGTCACACCACGGCACAATTTTTCGTCTCACATGCCTGTATACTTCACAGCAGAACGGTTGAGGTGAACACGTCCTTCGCACTTTGAACGACTGCGTTCGCACGCTCCTGTTCCATGCT